GGCTGCGTGAGGTCCCCGTGGGTTGGCTTGGAACTGGGTCTGGTTCTCCAGGACCGCCACCGGGCGAGGGGCCCAAGCGTTCGTCGGGGCCCTGCCCGCTGTTCCGGATGAGGACATCCAGGTCCCAGGAGGGGGACGGGCCTTGGCAGGCTGCGTAGAGATCCAGGCTGCCTGGATCCTGAGGGCATGGCGATGCTGCTGCCCCAGTGCCCTGGGCCTTTCTCGCTTTCTGCCTTGCTTCCCACCCCTTCTCCTGCTTCCTGGCCCTGGCCACATCCTGGGTGGGCATCGTCTCCTCCCTGGCTAGTCTGCTGCCCGGGGAGGGGCCCGTGGGGTGGCCTGGAGACGCCCCCAGGATCTGGAGTGGGTGCTGACCTGCCTGTGCCCCTGCAGCTCCGCCATCGACAAGCGGTCCGGGGAGAAGGTGGCCATCAAGAAGCTGAGCCGGCCCTTCCAGTCTGAGATCTTCGCCAAGCGGGCCTACCGGGAGCTGCTGCTGCTGAAACACATGCAGCATGAGAACGTAGGCCGCGGGGGCTTCGGGGAGGTCGAGAGGGGAGGCCAGGGAGGGACCCGACCAGGCCCCTCAGAGTACGGAGAACCAGGAGGGGACCGGGAGGAGGAGAACCTCTTTCTTGCTCCACGGATCTCTGCTTCTCGCCTCATTGTTAAAATGAGGGATGACCGGGCACCGTGGCTCACACCTGTAATCCCAGCACTTTGGGAGGCCGAGGAGGGAGGATCCGTTGAGTCCAGAGGTTCGAGACCAGTCTGAGTCTGGGCAACATAGTGTGACCTCGTCTCTACAAAAAAATTTAAAACATGGGCCGGGTATGACGGCCAGTGTTTGTAGTCCCAGCTACTCGGAAGGCTGAGGTGGGAGGATCGCCTGAGCCCAGGAGGTCCAGGCTGCAGTGAGCTCTGATGGTGCCACTGCACTCCAGCCTGGGCAACAGAATGAGACCCCAAGCCAAAAAACAAAAAACAACAACAACAAAAAGAGGGATTTGAGGACCTGCCCACTTTCCAGGAAGGGAACAAGGGGTATTTTTTGACTGGATGAACCTTATGGGGTACAGACTTAGGCTTTCATCATTATGAGGGAACAGGCACAGGGGAGCTTTTTAATGTGTTCCGTGTCTGAGAGCTTGTGGCCAGCTGGGGCTAGAAGCCTGGGCAATGTTTCTGCACGTGATCCTGATAATAACAACAACAGTAGACACTTAGTGAGCACTTACTACGTGCCAGACACTGTTCTAGCTGGTTGAATCCTCACACTATCACATGAGATGAGTACTACTGCCCACATGCCACAGTTGGGAAACGAAAGCACAGAGAGACTCACGTTGTGTTTAGTCAGTAGCAGAACTGGGCTTGATCTAGGCAGCCTGGTTCTGGGCCTGAGTGCATAACCATTAGACTGTCCTGTCTGGTAGAAGCAACCGAGAGAACCAGTGGCCCAGCTCTGGGCCTGGCAACCAGGCTTTGCTCCAGGAAACCCAGATTGCAGGGCAGACATTTAAGAGAATGACTTCAAAATATTGTGCACATTTTTTTCCTTTATTTTGAGTCAAGGTCTCATTCTGTCGCCCAGGCTGGAGTGCAGTGACACAATCATGGCTTATCGCAGCCTCGACCTCCTGGGCTCAGGCAATCCCTTCTGCCTCAGCTTCCAAATAGCTGGGACTACAGGCACGTGCCACCACACCTGGCTATTTTTTTTTTTTTTAATTATTTGTAGGGACAAGGTCTTACCATGTTGCACAGGCTGGTCTCGAATTCCTGGGCTCAAGCCATCCTCCTGCCTCAGCCTCCCAAAGTGCTGGGATTACAGGCATGAGCCACCACACTGGGCTATTGTACACATTTTAAGCCCCATCCCTCTTCAGGAAACCCCTTCCCTGTGGCCTCCAGCCAGGGGTGATCTTGCCTGGTGGCAGGCAAGGATGGGTGTGGCTAGACTCAAGACCAAGGACAGGGAGCCTGCTGGCTGGAAAGCTGCCTCCTGGCTGTCTCCTTTTCCCCTTCCACCGTCCTCTGTGGTTCTCTGCTGCCTCCATGAGTTGGGAGCGGGCTTGTGCTGCTTGCCCTGAACACCAGACTGAGGCGCACTGACACGCCTCCTCCCCCTCCCCCCATCCAGATTCCCTCCCTGTCACTGTTTATCTTAACCTCCCTCCCCGTTAGGGGATCCCTCCTGGCCTCTGCCCCTTGTACTGCTTCCACAAAGGCAGGGATCCTGCCTTCTGCTGGAGGCGGCGTCTCGGGAAAGGGCGGGTGGCCCTGGGTATGGCTGGGGCCTGGAGGAGGTGAGGGGCAAGGGCCGCCCCTGTCTAGCCCTCAATAGTGATTTCTTCCCCAGGTCATTGGGCTCCTGGATGTCTTCACCCCTGCCTCCTCGCTGCGCAACTTCCATGACTTGTGAGTTGGGTTCAGGGGGCTCTGGGGTATTTCAGGCTGGCATTGCCACTCAGGAGTTGGCTGGGGGAGGGTCCAGATTCTCTCCTCTGGCCCGGGGGCCTCTTTCCTTTCCCTGGTGGTCCCTGTGCTTTCGGGCTGTCGAGTGTGATTCTCTGGGAAGGTGCTTCCCGCCAAGGGTGGGCAAAGGAAGAGCTGGGGCGGGCTGGCTGGGGCGCTTGCCTGGCCCAGAACTGTCTGCACAGCTGCTTGCTCTTGACCCAACTTTGACAACACGAACACAGCTGCCAGTGCTCGCAGGGTTGGCACCAATTCCCCTCGCTGCCCCGGGGGCCCAGCTACGCGTCTGGATACGGGAGCTCTTTTTTTTTTTTTTTTGAGTCTGAGTCTCTCTCTGTTCCCCAGGCCAGGGTGCGGTGGCATGATCATGGCTCACCACAGCCTCCTGGGCTCAGGTGATCCTTCTGCTTCAGCCTCCTGAATTGCTGGCAGTCCCAGGAGTTGGGTGGGGGAGGGTCCAGATTCTATCCTCTGGCCCGGGGCCTCTTTCCTTTCCCTGGTGGTCCCTGTGCCTTCAGGCTGTTGAGTGTGATTCCCTGGGAAGGTGCTTCCCGCCAAGGGTGGGTGAAGGAAGAGGTAGTCCCAGCAATTCAGGACGCTGAAGCAGAAGGATCACCTGAGCCCAGGAGGCTGTGACTACAAGCATGCACCACCATGCCTGGCTAATTTTGAGATTCTTCATAGAGACCAGGTCTCGCTGTGTTGCCCACGCTGGTCTTGACCTTCTAGGCTCTAGCCATCCTCCTGCTTTGGCTTCCCAAAGTGTCGGGTTTATAGGCGTGAGCCACTGCACCTGGGCTTTGGGGCTTTTTGTAGTGAGGACTGGAAGGAAGCCTTGGCTGCCTCTGGCCCATGGGGTGCTTGACAGAGTTACACAGACCCAGAATGTCAGCTGCTAGATGTACAACTTCACTAGTACGGTGCGTGGACAAGACGGGGCTGTGCGGACAATGTCGAGAAGCCCAGTGTGGCGAGGGGAAGCCAGCAGCAGGTGTGGTCCCGCCGGGAGTCTGGACTCACTCCCAGAGGCAGCCTCCAACCCACCGGGGTTTTGAGCAGGGTGGGGGCATGGCCAGGTGGGGTCCTGTGGTATGCCTTCCGGCAGCAGCAGGAAGAGAGCAGGGAGCAGCCTTGGGGAGGAGGGAGAGCCCAGCGGCCAGTGTTAGTGACTAGACCTCTGTCTGAAGCCAAGAGCAGATTGAAGCAGGACCCACAGGATGCGATGATGTCTGTCGGGAAGCCACGACTGGGTGGGGTGGTGGGGCTGGGGGATGCTCAGGATCCTGTTTAGAATACCAGGGGGAGCCAGGCTCGGTGGCTCGGCCTGTAATCCCATGCCCTTGGGAGGCTAAGGTGAGTGGATTGCCTGAGCCCGCGGGTTCGAGACCCGCCTGGGCAACTTGGCAAGACCTCATCTATACAATACATCAAAAACTAGCCGGGTGTGGTAGCGCGCGCCTGTAGTTCCAGCCACTTGGAAGGCTGAGGCGGAAGGATGTCCAGTCTGGGCAACAGAGTGAGACTCCAACTCAAAAAAAAAAAGAGAGTACCAGGGGGAGGAGGAGCAGGTCTGAGCCTGTGAACGTTCAGGTGATTGCAAAGTGAATATGAACCTCAGAGGAAGAAGACCTGGCCAGGGCTGTGCATTTGGGCTGGAGTAGTCACCTGTGGGTGACTGGTGACGCCCAGGAACAGAGAATTGTAGGACATGAGGAGATAACATTGATTGGACGTCCACGTTCAGGAGGAGAGATAAGAGGATTCGCTGATGGAGGAGACGGAGAGAGCCCGGTCAGAGGCAGAGAATTTCGACGGAGTGTCAGACCTTGTGAGAGTGACGTAGGAAGAAAGGGAGTGTCAGGATGTGTTTGTCCAACAGTCCCTGGTGACCTGAAGCCGAGAGGCTTGGCGGCAGGATGGAAGCAGAAGCCAGGTTAACTCGGGAAGGGGAGTTAGGGCAGTGGAGTCCAGGAGCGTGGACCACCCTTTCTCGAAGTCTGGTGGTGAGAGAGGGAACAGGGGTGGGCACTTGAGGAAGCAAGGTCAAGGCTTCAGTGAGTCTGTCAGCCAGGAAGAAAGAGCTGAGCTTTTGTGTAGCAGGCGAAGCCCCAGGAGAGGACTGGGAGACAGGGTGGCCAGCCAGAAGAGGGCTGCTAGAATTCAGAGGCTCATGGAGATGGCCTCCACCACATCCTTCGAAAATATTTATAATATTTTAAAAATATATATATCTTATTTTTTAGAGACAGGGTCTCACTCTCTCACCCAGGCCAGAGTACAGTGGCATGATCACAGCTCACTGCAGCCTTGAATTCCAGGGCTCAAGTGATCCTCCTGCCTCAGCCTCCCAAGTAGCTGGGGACTACAGGTACATATCACCACACCCAGCTAATTTTTTAATTTTTTGGAGAGACAAAGTCTTGCTATGTTGTCCAGGCTGGTCTCGAAGTCCCGGCCTCAAGTGATTCTCCTGCCTCAGCCTCCCAAAGTGCTGGTACTATAAGTGTGAACTACCTCCCCAGCCTGTTTTTATAATCTGTATTATTTTTGCTCAGGATTTCGCTGTTACTTCCTTGAGTAACAGTTACATTTTGCCAGCTTCGACCTGTTTCATAGTTCCATAAGAGGGTGCCACCTCCTTCTTCCACCCTCCTGGAAATTGTTTTATTATTTCCTTCTTGGAAGGACAGACACATTGTTTGTTTGTTTGGGTGGTTGGTTAGTTGTTTGGAGCCTGTTTGTTCCAGGAGCTGTCTTAGCCAGGCATGACCCTCTGCACAGAAGCTATTTGGACAGAGGCTGAAGGAAATACTGGCAGATGATTCTAGCTCCCAGCTGTGGCTTTCTGTGGGGCGTGGAGGAGGGCAAGGAGAGGGCACTTTTGAAGAACAGGAACACAGCTCCATTCGGCTTTCCTGAGCACGCGCCAACTCTGAGCACGCTCACCCTGAGTCTGCCAGCTGGGCCGCCTGCCGCGGGGAGGCTGGGCGCCAGGAGCCTGGAGGCAGTGTGGGGGTCGGGCTGGCTGAGTGGGGCTGGTTTTTGCCTGCCAGAGGACATTTCTAAGCCCCTGCCTGCTCCATCCACACGCCGCTCCTGTGAGCTCAGACCTGGGGCTGGGTCGGCCTGAGCAACTGTTCCAAGAAGCCCTCGTGCCTTCCAGCTACCTGGTGATGCCCTTCATGCAGACAGACCTGCAGAAGATCATAGGCATGGAGTTCAGTGAGGACAAGATCCAGTGCCTGGTGTACCAGATGCTCAAAGGACTGAAGGTGGGGGCCTTGGAGGGCGGCTGAGGGGGCGCCTCGGGGTCGAGGCCTGAGGTTCGAGGGAGGCTGGCGGAAGCATGCTGTACCAGGGCAGAGGAGGTTTTCGAGCCGGCCTGCGTGCTGGGTGTGGGTCTGAGCACTGGACTCAGCCTTCTGTCTCTCCCACACAGTACATCCACTCAGCGGGGGTCGTCCACAGGGTGAGTGCTTCCCCCATCCTCAAAGGTCTGGTCCTGCCCGTGGGTGGAGTTTTCCAGCAGTCATTCGAGGAGTGGAAGAGGTGGAAGGAGGGGGTGGTTCTCGGGAGCATGGAATGTGGATTTTTCAGACCCAGCCTGGGCTCTGGAAGGCCTGCGTGGAAGATTCGAGGTGCTCTGGGGATCTTTATGGGGAATCGCTGCAGCCAGAGCCAGCCCTGAGCTGGGTGTCTCAGGCTTCAAGAATCAGGAACGTTTTCCATCCCGACGGGCCCCGAGAGAACGCCTAGGCCAATCCCCATTTTACACATGAGGGAAACTGAGGCCCAGGGAGGGGAAGGGGCCTGGCCGGGGTCACGACGCTGGGCAGTGCCAGAGCCAGGACAAGCTCCTGGTTGCCTCTGCCCGGTGCTCACTCTCTGTCCTCCCCCAGGACCTGAAACCAGGCAACCTGGCCGTGAACGAGGACTGTGAGCTGAAGGTGAGGGGCTCAAGCAGGCTTGATGGGGATGGGGTGGGCCTCTCCCCCGGGAGCCCCCCGAAGACCCCCTAGGGGCCTCCTTTTCTAAGCAAGTTCCTTCCCCCACACCCACTGAGCCACAGATCCTGGACTTTGGGCTGGCGCGGCCTGCCGACACCGAGATGACCGGCTATGTGGTGACCCGCTGGTACCGGGCCCCTGAGGTGATCCTCAGCTGGATGCACTACAACCAAACCGGTCAGTGGCCAGTCCTGAGGGCGCGCAGGGCCGGGACCTGCCCAGCGGCTTTCCGGGCCATCGGGTGACTCTGCTGGCTGACTGCTGGGTCCCTGCAAGACGGCCCAGGTGACACTCTCCTGTCTCTCTCTTCAGTGGACATCTGGTCTGTTGGCTGTATCATGGCGGAGATGCTGACCGGGAAAACTCTGTTCAAGGGGAAAGACTGTATCCTTTGCTGGAAAAGCCAAACTCATCTAGGGATTCCTTCCTTCAACAGACACTTCATTTAAATAATTCTCTCTCTCTTTCGTTTTTTAAGTTGGAGTCTCACTCTGTTGCCCAGGCTGGAGTGCAGTGGCACCATTATAGCTCCTTGCAGTCTCAATCTCCTGGGCTCAGGCGATCCTTCCACCTTAGCCTCCCAAGTCGCTGGGACTACAGGCGTGTGCCACCATGGCTGGCTAATTTTTTAAAAAAATGTTTTATGGAAGCGAAGGCTCGCTATGTTGCCTAGGCTGGTCTTGAACCCTTGGACTCAAACGATCCTCCTGCCTCCCCTCCCAAAGTGCTATGATTTTAAGTGTGAGCCACCATGCATGGCAATTGCTTTTTTTCTTAATGCAAGAGTGATACGTGCTCCCTGTAGAATAATTTTAAAAGTAGATAAGCCACATGATGAAAATGAGTCATCTGCAGTTCTACTGCTGTGTGCAAAGTACTTCAAATTTTGGCACCGCACACATTAAGTGCCTGCATGTGCAGGGCAGGACTTGGAGGAGAAGACATAAGCTCAGCCTGCCCAGCTTGTTGTGGCCGGGGGTTTGGAGAAGACGAGGACACAGAAGAGACAGAAGAGGGTGACTGTGTGGGATGAGGCCAGGGAAGTCCACTGCCTTTGTCAAGAAGGGCACCCCCCCCCCAGACCCTCAGCCTGTTGCCGGGAAAGCCCTCCAGGAGCCTCTTCCTGAAAGCAGGACTGGTAGTCAGGTGCCTCAGGGCCTGGTGGAGTGATGGTGGGTGCGGGAAGGGTAGCTCAGACCCACCAGGGAGAGCAGGGCTGAGCCTTAACTTGCTACTAAGACCTGGACCAGTTGACCCAGATCCTGAAAGTGACCGGGGTGCCGGGCGCAGAGTTTGTGCAGAAGCTGAACGACAAAGCGGTGGGTGGTCAACATGCCCAGGTGGGCTTAGGCTGCATGCTTGGCTGACCACAGGCTGGGTGAACTATGGGCTGTTGGGGAGGAGGGCTTGCCTGTGCCTCCCCCCAGGGTCCTCCCCCCCAGCAGGTGCTCTTGACCTCATCTCACCCTGGACTCTGACCTGAGCCCCCAGCCCTGCTTTGAGGCTTTCCGGACTGACGTCTTTCTTTCAGGCCAAATCCTACATCCAGTCCCTGCCGCAGACCCCCAAGAAGGATTTCACCCAGCTCTTCCCCAAGGCCAGCCCCCAGGGTGAGTCTCAGGACCTGCTTCCCGGGGGGCCCTCTGTGCATCCCCGGGCCGCCTCCCCATGCTGGGTGTGAGACTCACGGCTCTGCCGCTGCAGCCATAGACCTGCTGGAGAAGATGCTGGAGCTAGACGTGGACAAGCGCCTGACAGCCTCGCAGGCCCTCACCCACCCCTTCTTCGAGCCCTTCCGGGAGCCTGAGGAGGAGACGGAGGCCCAGCAGCCCTTTGACGACGCCTTAGAACACGAGAAGCTCACGGTGGACGAGTGGAAGCGTAAGACCCGGGTCCTGGCCCCCTCCCCCCTCCCTCTGCCCGCAGCCTCTTCCCTTGGCCTCCTCGGTCCTCACGACTTGGCCAGCCCCACTTGTGCCCAGAGACCCCTGCCCCATCTCCCAGTGGGCGTTCCCTCCCCTGCGGTGTGTGTCTTTCCTTCACACTCCACTCCATGTCTGAGGGGGCAGGCTCCGGACCCCACACCTCCTCACACGCCTTAAACCGTGCTGCCTTTCTTAGAGCACATCTACAAGGAGGTCGTGAACTTCAGTCCCATTGCCCGGAAGGACTCACGGCGCCGGAGCGGCATGAAGCTGTAGTGACCCCTCCAGTTGAGCCAGAGGATGCTGCCTGAGGACCAGAATCTATTTGTCAGGCTGAACTGTGAACCCTTCTTGGAATATAGCCTTTCCACCAGAGCCCTCTTCTCATGTAGGAAAGGGACCTAGCCGTTGCAGACTCCAAGGATGTTGGTTGGGAGAAAATAGCCCTGATTGTAATGGGCTTTGTTAAAACCCCTGTCTAGAGAATTGTGCAAGGGTGGGGGCCTTTCCTTCCTGCTGTGGCGAGCTGAGAGGGTGACGAACCAGTCTGGGTCCATGACACTGACGTGTGTGAGTCTCCTACAGCTGCTGTGACAGATGACCCCCAATGGATGACTTAATGCTTAGCTCTGGGGCTAGAGGTCTGAGGTCACACTGTCGACAGGGCCACGGTCCTCCGGAAGGCTCTGGGGAAGGATCCTTCCTTGCATCTTTTTAAGCTTCTGGTGATGGTCGGCAGTTCTTGGTGCTCCCTGGCGTGTCACCACACCACTCCAGTCTCTGCGTGTGTGTCCACGTGGTCTTCTTGCCCCGACTGTCTTCTTTTAAGAACACCAGTCACCGGGTTGAGGGCCTGCCTCAATCCGGTATGATCTCTTCCCGTTCTTACTAATTACGCCCCTGAAGACTGTTTCCAAATAAAGTCACGTTCTCAGGTTCCTGGCAACCATGGATTTTGGGGGGACACTATTCAACCGACTACAGATGGCCATGCAGCAGGGGCTCCTGTCTAGGCCTTGTGCTCCGTGAGGGAACCAGATGTATTTGGCTGCTAAATTAAGGGAGCAGGGAGAGAGCTGCAGCTGGTGAGGCGTTGCATCCAGGTTATTTTGGGTGAGTGGTAAGCAATCAAGATAGGAAGCAGCAGTGGGCTTGTGGACGGGGCTGCACGAGGCAGAAGTGGGCTTTTTCCTGGCTCTGTGGCAATCTGTCCTCCTTTTGGGAGATGGCAAAGCCCCCCAGGGCTTTAATCTGACAATGGCTAGGAGCTTTCTGTTTATATCTGAAAAACCTTGGGATAACAAATTTCTGTGTGCACAAGCGGTCGGGCAGTGTAGGTCTCAAACTTCCCTGTGTACCAGGGGACTTGTTAAATGCAGATTCTGGCCAGGTGTGGTGGCTCACTCCCATAATCCCGGCACTTTGGGAGGCCAAGGCAGGAATTCAAGCACAGGAGTTCAAGACCAGCCTGGGCAACATAGCAAGACCTTGTCATTGCCTTGCAAGTCTCTGGTGTAGCCATGTGCTCTTTGAGCTATGGCTGTCACCACGCTTCCTGGTTTTTGGCCCTCTCCCCCACCTGGAGCAGGTGAATTTTCTCTCTCTCTTTCTCTCTCTAAATTACTCTTAAATAAACTTTTCTTTATTAAAAAAAAATTAGCCAGCTGTGGTGGTATACACCTGTAGTAGCAGCTACTCAGGAGGCTGAGGTGAAAGGATCTCCTGAGAGCAGGAGGTTGAGGTTGCGGTGAACCATGATCGTGCCATTGCTCCAGCCTGGGGAACGATGAGACCCCCAACTCAAAATAAATGCAGATTCCTGGACCCCACCCCAGCGATTCTGATTCAACCGGTCTGGAGTTGGGACCCTGCAATGTGCAATTGAATGAGGACCTCTCACCCCGACCCAAGCCTAGTGGTGGTGGTGGATATCAGACCTTATTTAGAGACATTTTGCTGATTTCAGTACCACTTAATTTGTCAGGTCTAAATCAGAAACCTACAGTGGGAGACTGAGGGGCTTCAGATGAGCTTCGTTTTACAGTGTTAAAACTGAGACTCAGCATTTTTAGGGCCATGAAACACATACTATGGTGGATACATGACATTGTGTATTTGTTAAGATCTGCAGGCTGGGTGCAGTGACTCAGCCTGTAATCCCAACACTTTGGGAGGCCGAGGTGAGAGGATTGCCTGAGCCCGCAGGTTCGAGACCAGCCTGGGCAACATGGTGAGACCTCATCTCTATGATAAATAAAAAAATTAGCCATGTGCAGTAGCGTGCACCTGTAGTTCTGGCTACTTGGTAGGCTGAGATGGAAGGATTGCCTAAGTCCAACAGGTGGAGGCTGCAGTGGCCATGGGCGTGACGCTGCACTCCAGCCTAGGCGAAATGAGTGAGACTCCAACTCAAAAAAAAAAAAAATCTGTGGAACTGTATAACAGGGTGAACCCTCAGGTAAACCGTGTGGACTTTAGTATCAGTACCGGCTTGTCGATTGTAATGAACGTGCCACACTAATGCAAGATGTTACTAGAAGGTGGGAGGCATGTGGAACCTCTCTGTGCTTTCTACTAACCTAAAACTGCCCTAAAAAAAAATAAACAAGAAATACCCTGAGGCCCCAGAGAGGCTCAGTCAGATACCCTCAGCTAGGAAGGGTTTGAACCCAAGCAGCCTTGCCCACTGGGCCAAAGGCTCTCAACCCAAGCTTGGATTCAGGGGTTGCTTGGTCTTCCCTCTGTCTTTGCCCATCTCCCTGAGCGCCTTTGCTCCTGGCTGGACCCACAGACTCTGACCCTGCTGTCAAGGATGGAGTTCTTGACTGGGATTGACCCTGTCCTGCCATAGCCCTAATCTTGCTTGTTGCTAAACTGCCCCAGGCTCCCTGAGTCTGAATCCCTTCTGAGATGCTGTGCTGGTCCCAGGGAAAAAGTCCCACCTTCTTGGCCTGGCATTCAAAATCCCTTGTGTTCTCTCTGACCTCATCAACTCCCACTGCCTCCTGTATGTCTTATGCCAGTGTGGCCTGCCATGGGACACCAGTCCTGGGGTCCACCATGAGGCTCATAGGGCACATGAGCAAGTTAAATGTTCTGACAAATCCTGCAGTAAAGAGATCTGTTCAATATTGTTTAATCCAGAACTTCCCTAATGTAGCCCCAGGACCACATTTTCTCCCAACAGCATTATAACACATGTAGCCTTCTTTGTCCGGTGCGGTCCAGTGCCCAGGTCTCCACGTTGCCTCTCTCCCAAGCAGGCTTGGGCTTACTTCCAATACCTCTGCGTAGAAGGCTCTCCATTCTGTTCCCCACTCAGGAAAATCCTCCTCATCCTTCAAGACTACCTCAGGCCTCCCTCCAAGAAGTCATTCTCCATCATCCTTCCTCAGGGAACGGACAGCTGCCTCCCTCTGCCCCAGGCCCTGCTTGGAGCAAGTATGTGTGAGTGAATGATGTCCCAGGAGCCTGTTGGTAATTTCTCTTGCAGTGTGGAAGGTGGCATAGAGCACAGCAGGAAGCAGAAGTGGTGGCCCTGGATTGTACCTTGGCGTTACTTCCCTGAAAATCTCAAAGCTCTCCAGTGCCCAGGCCTGTCCCCACTGTCCCTTGGTGTCCCTCCAGGCCACTCCCCATCCTGTCCCTCACAGTTATCTCAACCTTGGAAACTTTCTTCAGAGGGAGGCGAAGGGGCTCAGCAGTACAAAGAGGCTCGTGGGTTTGGGCCTGACCCAGTAAGCGTGTGGCCTGTGTGAGGAAACCCTCCATTCCCCAGGGGACTGGGGGCAGGCATGTGGGGGGTGGTTGAAGGGAGCGTGGATTTGGTCTCAGCGACTCTCACCTTGGCCTGCAGGGCCTGGGGCCAGTCTCATGGCCCCGGACCTTGGTGGGTGAGGTTGGCCTATGCTCTGTGGCCAAGGGGGTGCAGAGAGATGAGGAAGCCACACTCAGAGATGGGGACAGTTCTGTGGCAGCAGTTGCAACCTCCACTTCTCCTTTGTGAAATGAAGGGCACAGCCCCTCTCCCAAGGCGGCGGGGTCCTCCCAGGTTGGCGGCTCAGGGCAAAGTTTGCTTGGCAGGAACTGGGGACGGGGGATGGGGTGGAGGCAGAATTGGAGGAGCTGCCCTCGCAAGGGGGAGTCCCACATGCACCGAGGCCCGAGCTGCCTGCGAGGCTGGAGGCTAGTGTGAACGGAGCCTGGCGGCGTGTTGAGACGACTGTGACTGTCCCTCCAGGGTGTGGCAACCGTGTTTTCCTGGCCTTGAGCAGTGCTGCACCCACAGCCAACGAGCGCAGGATTGCTCTTGGCTGCTTCTCCCCAGGGTCGGCCTTTGCATCCCAGTGGAGACAACCCTGAGCCGTCCAGCTCTGGGGTGGTCCCCGTCTCTTATCTCCAGTGAACTTGATGCTCTGTCCTCATCCTCCCTGACTCCATGATCAGAGGCTGGTGATTCCTCCTTTTCCCACTGGCAGCAGAGGCCCGAGCCCATTTAGCCACACCCAAGACCCCAGCGAGTTCAAAGACGATGGGGGAGGGGTCCTGGTTCCTCCTGTGAAGCTTCTACCCGGCTAGCAGCTGCCCCACACAGGCAGCCGCACCAGAGCGTCCACTGTGCCCTCTCACCCATGGCTCTTAGCCTTTTCGTGTGTCATGGGTCACTTTTCAAAATCATCTTTTGCCGGCTGTGGTGGCTCACACCTGTAATCCCGGCACTTTGGGAGGCCAAGGAGGTCAAGTCTGTGGTGAGCTGTGATGGTACCACTGCCTTCCAGCCCGGGCAACAGAATGAGACCCCCACTCAAAAAATACATATACACATACACAAAAAATAAAGTGCTCAGAACAGCATCCGGCACAAGGAGTACTCGCCAAGAGTTAATTATTATTATTATTATTATTTTCTCTACCACATCCTCTTTCTTCCTGATGACCCCATCTTCCTGACTTCTGCACTTCCTCCTTCTCAGCAGGTTTTCCCACTCACCTGGTCTCCCTGGCATTAAATCCTCCCTCTGTGGGCTTGCTCATGTATTGCCATCTGGCTTTTTACATTCCTGCCAAACATCTTAAGAGAGGAGTCTGTGTCTGTCACCTGTTTCCTCGCTATGCCTCCCTAGCAGACACTGTTACACCTGCCTTCGGCGTCCACCTTCCTTCCACAAGGACTCGCTCGTGTTTTCCGACAGTCTCTGATCAACAAATCCCACCAATCTCTGGCCCAGGCCGCTCGGCCATGCCTGCCACCCCAGCTTCCACAGGGAGACCCTCTGCCTCGGTGGTGTGTCTGTCTGCCTCCCCCAGCCCCCTGTACCTTCCAGCCCTGTTTTCTCAACAGTGAACTTGGTTGATCCAACTTCCTCCCTCCTCTGACCTAGCTCAGAGCTTGAGATCCTCAGCCCACTACGTCATCCTCTTCCCATCTTCCTGCCCTCCAGCCTGGCCCTCTCCAGTGGCTGGATCTGACTCTGCTGGCTGTCCATGGCTTTCCTGTCAGACTCCCCCACTCCAACTCACAGTGCCCTTCCTCTTGTGGCCATTCAGCTGGGCCCTCGTGCTGGCCTCGCCCTGGCTCTCTGTCTTGCTTCCCTGTTCATCTTATGTCTTAGGAGTCCCTCCGCGGTGATGCTTCTGGAAGCTATTCCATGTAGACCATTCTAGGCCCTTCATACCCGTGCTGTCATAATAGTGTCCACAGCGATTTCCTTGCTCTGGGCTCTCCCCTTCTTCTGTCCTGCAGCCAATTCTTCTTCCTTGATGCTGCTGAGACACCTCCTCCCCCTGCTGAAAAGCCAAAGAGAGCTCTCTCGCACCTGCAGGACCAGGTATCATATCCTGACTAGTGTGTAAGTTTCCATGGTAAGAACACGGCCTGGTCTTAGCAGCTCTTGCTTACGTTACAATTCTGGTGTCTGTAGCCTTTCGTGTAGGGTCT